TACCTTATAAGCTGAGGCAACTTATTTTATTTGAGGAATACTCAGCTGATTCCTCTACATTTAGCATGGAACAAATTTGTGTCCAAGACCTCTTCCGGTTACACAATTTGGCTGTGTGTAACCAAACTAGAAGTGCTCTACAAATCAAGGGACCCAGAATTGTGGAATGACCTCCCGAATCATGTCAAAGGCTGTACCTCTCTCAACCAGTTTAACCCTTAAACTGCGCAACGCGCCTGCAGGCTCACGTCTGGTTTGCGCAACGCGCCTCCGGGTATTTGTATTTTTCACGTTCCATTCAAAACTCCCGCGGCTACATGGGGTTCACATCAGCTTCCTCAGGGCTCTTGTAAACAGACGCCATCTTTAAAAAAAATCGTGGTCCACATTCCCGGGTGTGAGGGCCTCAGTAGTGTGTGAGCAACCAAGGCTGGCGCTCGCAGCATGAGCGCACAGCACTGCTGTTCAGCGTGTGACCACAGCATCGCCTAATAATGTCAAAATATATATATATAACTTGTATTATTTAGCTATGATAGTGTTATATTAGAGCCTGAGTGTGATAATGACTGGGTACAATGTTCAAATATCAGTGATTCAATGCTGTTCACGATGTTCACAGCGCCAGCCACAGCACCACAGCATTATTTCGTTCATCTAGGAATCTTCAAATGATTTCTTAGGTTCCTTTTCAAAATAAACGTGTGGTCAATTATTCATTTACAGGAATTAGTGACCAGGATTGTGATAATAGCAGGATTGTGGTTATAATTAGCGTTGTGCGTAGTATTGTGGAAGGAGGAATTTTGATGAGGGAGGGAGGGAGAGAACTGAGGTAGCCTCATTGTGTGTGTGGCTGCCACTCTTGTTTTGCTCACCATACTAGCTTAGTGGTTCGCTATGGGCAACACATATGTACATGGGTATATATAGTGTGTGTATATAGTGTAAGAACAGCAACAGAAGAATGTTGAGAGGAGCTATTTTGGTGAGGGAGGTGACGTAATCGTAGCGTCGTCTGCTGTGTGATTTTTCATGCAGTGTATGGTGGCCACTGTACTGTTTGGACACAATACCAGCTTACTTGCATAGTTCTGGTAAATAAAACATGTAGATAGGTATATAGAACATGTGTAATAAGAACTATAACAATATGGTGGGAGGAGCAATGTTGGCGAGTAAGATGTTGGAGTGAGGGAGACTGGCTGGGTGTGGCTGCTCTCACTCGAGGTGTTCTGAATGTGTTCATGGCCAAATGCTCCTATTGGCCCATACGAGGCAGCTGCTATTGGCCCATAGGAGGCAGCTGCTATTGGCCCATACGAGGCAGCTGCTATTGGCCCATATGAGGCAGCTGATATTGGCCCATACGAGGCAGCTGATATTGGCCCATACGAGGCAGCTATTGGCCCATATGAAGCAGCTGTTACGCGGTGTTCTGAATGTGTTGATGGTGAATGTATATAGTGTGAGACAGTGTATAGTGTGTAAATAGATTGTATATATACACAAATTTAGCATGATACATAGTAAATATGTGCTGCATATGTGTACACAAGTTTCATGCGCGTAACACAGTGTCTACAGACAGTACGGATGTTGTACTGCGAAAATATAGTGTACGTGTTCATCATACATTGGATTGGCACATAAAAACAATGAAAATGTATTTGGAAAAGTGCTCAAAAAATGAACGAAAATATATTCGCGGCAACTCGCGCGCACTGCCCCGAGCGCCCCACTGCCCCCGAGAGCTTACAGCACGGGCGCACGGGGAATGATGACGTCACGCCCCAACTTCCGGACCCCATAGCAGCCAAAGTAAGTACAATTTCGACTTTTTTTTTACATACCCATACTGAGGGAAGGGTTTTTGACACTTTAAAAAGAAAAAAGAATTTTTTCCAGAGAATTTATTTCCTGCGCACTGCGGGGGTGTCACATTTGGAGGCAACGCAGTTAAGGGGTTAAGAGTAAAAACAAGTACTACCTAATTAACTCCATGTAACCTACCTTACCCCCTAAATGTCAACCCATGTCTTGCTATTTTTTAAACAATGCTGTTTGTTCACAAACGTGTGCAATTGCTGATTTCTGCTATGTTACCCCTCCCTTATTTTATTCCTTCTTTCAACACAATTTATACCTAATCCCGATTACTATTAAGTTTTAGTCTAAGTGTTTTTCCCCCCACACCTTGCCCTAAATGCTATGAGTATTAGTGGCTTTAGGTATTGTATGTACAGTACTAGCTATCTATAAATCCAACATTATGTTTGTAAATCAACTGAATGTACCTTTCCCGAATAAAATTTGTTTATACTTATTTATTTATTAATCAGTAAGTAAGTGTTAAAAGAAGGCACCAAGTTGGGAAGGCTATGTAGCACCATTGTGTGTAACAATAAACCAAATTTTTTTTTAACAAATAATGCACCTGTATGGTAACACAAATCCTGTCAGCTGTAAAAATATTGATGCAGTTATTTAAATAAAAAATATAATAAAAGAAATATTACTGGTTTATTTTTATCCTATCTTTTTATACTGTACAGTATATCCATGAAAGTGAAAAATTGAGACATAATGCACAATTTAATGAATGATTAAAAAATGATTAGTATGGATTAGCCGTTCAAAAGAAATATGACTTATTACATATCAACATGAGATCTTAATGATCCATGGTTAACATGATTTAATATGGATAATACAGTACAGTACTTGTAATAATACAAACTATAATTTAAAATCTTTATTACTGATTTTTTTTATTAAGAAGATTAGGTATACACAGCAATGTGCTACTACCCTATTCTATATGGAATATTACACATATAGATAAAAAACTAGCTTTAAGGTTATCTAATACTCCCATCTCACAGGATGGTTAGACATACATGGAATCAAGGTACAAAATACCAGCCTCAATATAAAAAACAAATCAACTCTGACTAAACAACTCCTCGCGATTTTCACAAGAGGTAAGCACTGAATCATGGAAACATTATATTATAATTACTCTTACCAGTTTCTACAAGACTCCTCTCAAACAATGTATTTTTTAACATGTTTAGGTATACACAGCAATGTGCTGCTTCCCTATTCTGTATGAAGGACCACACAGTGTAGATCAAAAACCAACTACAAGCTCATTCAACATCCTCACCTCACAGGATGGCCAGTCATACATGGAATCAGGAGAGAACAAAATACTTAAGGCTGATCTATTAGCCTCCTCTGGCAAAATCTGGGTGCAGCACAAGAATATCTTCCAATATTCCTGAGTGTATGAAGTAATTACAGAGCTCAAAGTACCTCATACCATTTGGTATGAAGTCACTGATAACAGGGCAATCACAGATATAGTGTTGGAGAGTATGTTCTCTCAAGTAGGACTGAAAACAGATGTTTTTTCCACCAAGAGGGCTATAAACCCATGGAACCGCCTACCCGCTGAAGCCGTAAATGCCAAATTCCAGCTAAAAAATATCATTAAGGCAATTAGCGGGCCCTTTAACAAGCTGCTGGCTTTCTGTCCTTTTCGAGGCCACTAGTTAGTTAGTGGCCCTTGGGTAAATTCAGTAAATATATACAATAATTGTCAGCGCATCTTCCGAGTAACAAGGACAGCTACACAGTATCTCTCAGAATTACGAAGGTAAACAACAAATGTAACATATTTCTTTACTACAATGTCGGTGCTGGCTGTAGAAGTTGAAAAAACATAGTTTTACTTCGAAATATACTAATTTTATAAGAAAATTCGACGTAAATAGGAGGCAGTAGAGCTCCGATAAGCCAGGGCTAAATCTTCAATATGAAGAATGTTGCCTGCTCTCTGATTGGCCAAACGAAACACAGTAGTGACCTTTATCGGCACGCAAGTGAACCAACAAATATCTTCCTAAGTGGACCTACGTGAATTGCACCTAAGCATTTTCTTAGGGCACACTTAGGAATCTTCTTAGCAAACCTACTTACGAAGAAATACATGGAGCTTCGTGAATCTAGGTCCTTATCTTTTGGGGTGTCTAATGCCGATGGAAGACATGAAAACTTTCATACAAGTGAGTTTCATAGGCCAATGCTCCCTGCACTTCTCTGAGGGGACCACGTCCTGGCTAGTGGTCTCTATGATTTTCGTAGATTGGTGCAACATTTATCTCTGAAAATGAGGTTTTGAGGCAAGGATGTGGGAAATATGCTAGATATGGTTAAATCACTTTACAGATAGCTTCTCTTGGCAGCTGCCCTACATACTGCAGGTTGAAATTAATATTTTGCTCACCTAAATCAGCCCATAGTGTGTGGGAAACATTAAGGTATGAACGGTAACTCTGTTAATATGGCTCCAATCATGTTTTTAATGATTTTCGTAGATGAGCGCAACATTAGAAGAAAGAGTTGGGGTCTTGAATAAGCTGCTGAGCACATTTAAAATACAATTCTATGGTTCATTTTTCTTTGACATTTCCCAGTTTTCATTCACAAATAGGGGCTTCCTGGAACAATCTCTGGTTACAATGAATCCCTTGCTGCAACGAATTGGGATTGGTCCCATTTAGTTCATTAAATAGAGGGTGTACTGTATATAGATAGCATTACGAATGAATAAACATTACCATAGTCCAGTAGTGATCCACAGCAGCACCTCATTGCTTAACAAGAACAGGTATGCAATGCTCCTTATAAATTGTCCTATACATTCACCCCTCCTTATAAAATGGTCCCACTTACCCTGTTCCCTACTATATTCCATGAGTTCCATGCATTCACTGCTTCCTCACACACATTTACCATGTTTTCCTTTCATGATTTCCTCTCCTATTACCCTCAAATTCACTCAGCTATACATGTTTCACCAGTTTACCATCATCCATTCATTCAACATTTCCAAATTAACTCTGTATACTGTCCTCAATCTAGCAATTGCCAAATATACAGTAAGAAATTATATTACGTTAAAACTACTAATACAACAGCAAAAATCACTTTACCTGTGGGAATAATGGTCTATCATCACGATTGTATTTAATGCAATCATCAAAGAGGCGACGAATTGGCTTGGGCATATCTGAACGAAGGTAGGTCATGTCCGGCCGCAAATATCCTCGACCCACCATGAACAGAATCTGTGAAAATCAATTTAAAATGATAGTGATATCTGCACATCTAAAAACACATTGAGCAAAACATGACGTACAGAGTCACCACAGGCATAGCACTTCTCTTGATCTGCTCTTATTATCTCTCTCATGACTTTGAATATCAGTCTCAGTGGACTGGGAGAATGAAGTACAGTACAACCTTGATTCAACGTACCCCGATTCACCAAATACATGGGAAGTTCGGACACTTTTCAGGCCGGATTTACTTACTCGGTTCGATGAACAATGGTTAGCCGAAGCTGGGGATGTTCAGATTTACTTACGATGTCCAGACAGAGTTCACAGACTGTTGGAAAACTTTCCCATTCTATCACAGATTACAATTAATAATTTCCTCATATGACAAGTTCGATCACACAAGTGGACCACACAAGTGGTCCACACAAGTGGACCGCACAAGTGGTCCACAAGCTTATGATGTTGGGACAGTTCACAGACTGATGGAAAACTTTCTCATTCTATCACAGATTACAAATAAGTTCCCTCATATGGCAAGTTCAATCACACAAGTGGACTGCACAAGTGGTCCACAAGCTCACAATGTTGGGACAGAGTTCTGGAAAACTTTCTCATTCTATCACAGATTACAATGAATAATTCCTTCATAAGACAAGTTGGATCACACAATTAACACTTTCGCACTTTAGATTATCCACGAGTCGTCACCGTATTTTCTTACGTTTCCGCATAACAGACTACGCCTGTAGTCCATCGAAAAAATATTTGTATAAAATCCATTTATTATCCGATCAACTTGGGAATAGTATACAAATGTTTGCCATGAAATTTACGTTTTCTCTAATAGCCGAACAGCTTATAAAAGAAAACAGCGTGGCAGTGAATCATCGTGGTAAAACAATTGTATTATTGACACGACGAGTGTAATCGACGTAGTTTTTATATATGTTGCCGGTCGAACGCATCCTTATGTGACCTTTAATACTTATGTTCTTATAGAACATTCTATTGCGAGCACATTGGTACAAAAATGAAATACATACATCGACAAATAATGTCAGGACAGTGAATTGAATATACACTTTTCAAAGCGAGTTTCGCCGATATGCTGCCGCGGGTAACACTTCGGCCACTTCCCACACTGTTTTGGGTGGGCTACGACATTGAATCTATATTTATATGCATATGTCCGTGTAGAGAATTTTATTGCGATTCCAATGATACCACAATTAGCGATGTAGGACAACTGTAGGCTTCGCAACCATTAAGAGAGTGGAAACATTTTGTTGCTGTTTGGCGCTCTTGGCGAGTGATCTGAATAGTTTTTTATTTGGTGTTGATAGTCCTTATGGTTTGGCGGCATTTTATAGGTATGTTCTTATAGACAATTTTATTGCGAACACAGTGATACCAAATTTAAATACGTGCGCCTTCAATTATTATCAGGACAGTAAAAAGAGTGTACACTTTTTCGGTCTTACCGCATAGGCGCGCGGAGCGCCGAAAGCATCTAGGGTATTATTTTTTTTTGAGCGCCAAGAGTGCGAAAGTGTTAACACTTTCGCGCTCTCGGCGCTCAAAAAAAAACAATACCCCAGATGCTTTCGGCACCTCGCGGGCCTACGCGGTAAGACCGAAAAAGTGTACACTCTTTTGACTGTCCTGACAATAATTGAAGGCGCACGTATTTAAATTTGGTATCACTGTGTTCGCAATGAAATTGTCTATAAGAGCATACCTATAAAATGCCGCCCAAGCATAAGGAGTATCAACACCAAATAAACTATGCAGATCACTCGCCGAGAGCGCCAACAGCAACATGGTTTCCACTCTCTTAATGGTTGCGAAGCCTACAGTTGTCCTACATCGCTAATTTTGGTATCATTGGAATCGCAATAAAATTCTCTACACAGACATATGCATATGAATGTTTAATATAGGTAATTGCCCACCCGCAAGAGTGTGTGAAGTGGAGAGTAGTTAGCCGCGAGCGCACTGGCGAAAACACAGGGGGGAAATCATGCTTGGAAAGTTTATACGTTTCCTGACCCTACTTTTCTATGTATGTATTTCTTTTTTATACCAATGTGTTCGCAATAAAATTTTCTATAAGATGAACTGTATAACATTTGTACAAAGCATGTGTAAGAGAAGCGCCAAATATAGAACCACGTCGCTCAGTATGCGTTCGCGGCAGAAACGAACGCATTGTTTTCGTTCGTTTGATGTTTGTCATGTTTATACTTGTTGAAACATTTTATAATTTGTATGACAGTGATCGCAGTAAAATTCCCTACACAGACATATACATAACACATACAAATATTTCCCACGTGTTGGATATATCAACGGCTAAAGGGAACCCACTGCCACACGCTCGCCACACCCCCAAACATACTTTGTGTATTTTTTATTTTACTCATAGAAGTTTATGTGATATAATATTCATTCTGGTACCAAAAAATTCGCAAATAAATTCTCTACAAAACAAAAGTATCCCCATCCATTTCGGTTAAAAAATGGAATTTATAGAAATATTTTTTCGATGGACGAGAAAAGTAGGCTGTTATGCGGAATCGTAAGAAAAAACGGCGACGAGTTATCTCTAATCTAAAGCGCGAAAGTGTTAAGTGGACCACGCAACAAGTGAACCATATGAACCAAACACCAGCCAGAGTGGTCCACACAAGTCAACCATATGAACCAGACTCCAGCCAGAGTGGTCCACACAAATGAAAGACTGAGTTTCCATAATTTTTGTTCACCGATTTATGGCACACGTACCTTTGTAAATTAATTTAAAGGCTGAAGTGTGATTAGCTAGCTACACATGGTAAAATCTCCTTATAGACATTTTCTGTCGTGAAATAAGATGAGTGAGGGTGGACAGATAAAGGAATACTGTACAGTAAACCTCACTTTACAGTGAGGTTTCACTCACTTTCGTCTGTGACGTCATAGTGCAGTGATCCATGACTTTGAAAGTTTTGGATTAATAAATCATTTCTAAAACCAGTGTTTTAATAGCTTTTTATTATCCTAATTATCCAAATTATTCTAAACTAAACTAAATAAAACCAAAAATATACTGTAATATGACAGACATCTGCTATTTGAGAAATTATTTATGTTATTGGAACAACAACTCCAGTGTGAGGGGACGGGTCTAATCCTTATACACACAGCACCATGTGTTTTTCGTTCGATTTCGTCGCCACAGTTCAGTAACTTACGGCTTCGAAATAATAAAATTAATAAATCAGATCTAAAATAAGTTTTTTATATCTCTTATTATCCTAATAATGTTACTAAACTAAATATATAACCTAAAAATATATATTTTGATGTAAATCCAATATTTGAGAGAAATTTATGTTACTGGATCTGGCTTTAACACCAGCCTACTGGAAGGTGTATAGACCTAGTCTGTGTTCATACAGTAAGTACCCAGTGCCGTTAGCTTTGTCTGCGAGTGACATGTTTGTCCACCGGTGAAAGAATAATCGTGGAATTTACCATTTCTTGACTACAGTTGTATTATTATACAACAATATGTCTCAAGGGCTTGCTAATCGTGCTGTATCTACAAAGCGGAAGAGAAGATTTTTATCCATTGAGCAGAAATTCGACATAATAGAGAAACTTGAACGTGGCTACTCTGTTACTAGGCTCGCAGCAGAATTTAATGTCGGGAAAAGTACGGTGTGTTATATCAAGAGACAGAAAGATGATATTAGGAAGTTCCTTGCTACAAGTGATAGTGATGTATTAAATAAAAGGAAAACAATAAAAGGTTCAACAAATACAAATTGGATGAAGCTGTGTATAAGTGGTTTAACCAGGAGCGCTCTGTGGGGACGCCATTAAGACTGCTGCAGATTTATTTAAAAAAAAAAAAAAAAAAAAAAAAAAAAATGATGAACATTCCAGATTTTCGAGCAAGTGAAGGATGGTTGCAAAGGTTTAAGAATAGGCATAATATTAAGAACAGGAAAGTTTGTGGGGAATCATTATGTGAAGATACGGATTCTGTCGAGCCATTTAAACGTAAATTAAATGATTACATAATAACAAATGATCTAAGGTGTTTTCAGGTATACAATGCCGATGAAACAGGCTTTAATTGGAAATGCTTGCAGAACAACACTTTGGCATCTAGGCTAGATGAAAGTGTTCCTGGCTGTGAGGTAAACAAAGAAAAAGTTTCTGCCATGCTGTGTGCAAATGCAGACAGAAGCCACAGAATAAAGTCCGCCATTGTGGGGAAGTCAAAAAACCCACGTGCTTTGAAAATTTTAATGAACAAGCTACCTGTGGTCAACTACAACTCTAAAACAGCTTGGTTTACTGGAGATATTTTTGTAGACTGGTTCAAAAATCATTTTTGCAAAGAAGTAAGAGATTTTCAGATAAACAACTGTGGAGTGAGACAGAATGATGTCAAGGCATTACTCTTGGTTGACAATGCCCCAGCTTATGTAGGGCTCAACACATTAGCGTCACATGATGGACTGATCAAATGTATGTCCTTGCCTCCAAATACCACCTCTCTGATCCAGCCAATGGATATGGGTATTTTATATGCAATGAAAAGGCTCTACAAAGGAAGCAATGAATAAAGAAATCATGGTGGTGTTTAAGTCAGATGAAGACAAAAGACAAGGAACCGTTTCGCGAGGTCAAGCAACACTGGAACGTTACAAAAAATACTCAATTAAGGAAGCCATTTACAACTGGGCTAATGTTTGGAATGAAGTTAATTAAAGAGCCAACATTAAGGAATTGTTGGAAAAAACTCCTGTTGCTTGATCATGTTGATGAAGTGACTGAAGAAGAAATAGATTTTGAAGGATTTTCAAATGATATTTATCAAAAACTGTGTGACGCTGATGAGGTGGAGTTGACGCTGAATGATCTACCTGACAAAGAGCATGGGAAATATTAGGGTATGAATGTGAATCTCTTAATATGGCACTAATCATGTTTTTAATGAGTTTTGTAGATGG